TGTAGGATATAACCCCCTCCCCCCCAAAAAAACACCTTTATTTCTTGTTTTGCCAATTCCGGGGCAGGCTGAGCGACAACCCAGGGTGGCTGTGCTGTGTGTAACTCCACGACCCCAGCTGCCTCATCTTGGGTAGCACCATCTGCACCACTTCTACCTGGCTCCCAGGTCGACACAGCAGGAGAAGAGCGCCGATGGCAAGCGGGCTCTGCAATGCGTTGGTCCAGCAGCAGCATCATATCTATTGGCAGCTCAATGTCTAGATATAGTAACAGGCCCCACCCAACTGCAGGGGAGCCAGAAAGCGTGTGGGTGAAATAAGCCATAAGAAGTAAATATCTCTCCTTAGGGAATGATGCCAAAGCTGTTAGAAACCGACTGACTATAATGAGCTATACTAGTGCATACCGCTCGGCTTCACAGTCTAAAACGGTAGTGCCCGACATACCACCACGTTTAGTGTTTCTGTTTTTCAAACCATGGTCTGAGGGCATGAACAATACATTTTTAAAAACTTAAGCACCTATTTATAATTGCCTTGACCTCTAATAACCAGTGAAGCAGTCTGTTATGGAGCTATAATATTTTATGTCCACAAGGGCCCCAAAGTATATTGCAATCATATGCAGAAACTACACTCTGTTGAGCAGGATATTTTTAGCACCGTTCTCAAAGCGTCACTGAGCTGAAAGAATTTCGGGCAGTCAAGTTAGCCACTCTATTTATTTTGTCCATTGAGTAAAATCAGCTGGATTCTAAAAGAAAACAACACCAGTCATCAGAATCAAAAGTGAATTTCCTCAAGAGACCCAGTGTAACACTGACCCTTCAAGACAACAGCCAAGAGCTTTGGCCTTCAGATTTCTTTAAACACACACTGTACACAGTTCAGTTAACTGACCAACTCATTTACATTGTAACACTGTAAAATCTAAAATCTCTCTTTCTAAAGAGAGATAACATAAGAATTCTTTAATATTCAGCTCAAACCTCCTAAAGCACATAAACTCTTTTGGGACCTTGCTCCATCTATATCTTAAAGTTAGAATTAGATGAATCTGTGAGGGTGTTAGTGCGTGCCTACCCAAGTGTGTATGATGAATATCAAAAGGAAGCATACAGTCACTCAGAAGGGTACGGTACAATGAAGTATGGCTTCACACTTTTCCGTCTCTGTAATAGGATTATAGATCTGCGCCCGTCACAGAGGAGATGGAATAGATCTCCCCGCCTCATTGACTTTGGCCAGTGGATGTGGCAGAAGTGAAAGAATGATCGTTCCCAGGTGAGGCCTTAAGAGACTCGGTCCTCTCGATCTCCCTCCATCTGCCAGTAGATTATGAATCGGGTAGCTGCCAGCTGCAAAACGAGAGACAAGTAGAGCAGATCCAAACCCAGTCTGCATCAGAAGCAAAGCTTCCTGGCCACTCCAAGGACCCAACAGAGAGAAATATAAATGGAGGTGGTTGTAAGCACTGAAATTTGGGGTTGTCTAGTAGACTGTGTTAATGGAAAAAAACCTAATTGATACAAATGAGGAAAACAGAAACAGAATTTTTTTCTTTCACCTGCTTCCAAAACGAATTCTACACATTCTCCGTTCTTTAAACCTCATAAAGGTTTAACCTCATAAAGAAGGTAGAAAAAGGAATTGCATGGAAGTTAAGGATGTTGTTTCATGAGGATCTAGATTCTAGAAGATAAAATGTAGATGTGGAAATAGATAATACGGGCATAGAAATATGCATATACATTCTGAGGAGCTGCTGACGGACACAGAGAAGCCTGGAGGAATTCTGTGGAAAGAAAAGGGTTTTAGCTTGCCTAAGAACATGGACAAGAAAAATCACAATTTTTGTAAACAGTGTGTCCTTGGTAATGCTAAAGCTTGACCAGGGTTAAGTCCTCAAATGCAGAAAGGTTGATTAATACTTATAGATGCTATGACTTCACAGAAGAGACTGGGCACTTGAAAGAGAAAAAGCACAGCAGACACACTGCTGAGACAAAAGACCCACCTCAGGGCTGACATGTCACAAAAATGAAATGAAAGACGATTCAGATTTTAAAATAGTTCATATTCTACAACCTATGAAAATTACCTTATGTTACTTTAAATGTTTAGGATTAGTTTGGCTATGAATGACAGATAACCTAAATAAACAGTGGCTTAAACACAGGATTTCTTCTGTCATTAAAAAAAAAAAGTTCAGAGGCCTTCCATACAGGGCTACAATAGCTCACTGCAAGGCCACACAGGCCCAGGATCTTTCTATGTTGTTGCTCTGCAATTCTCAGCACACAGCTCCCCCTATGCTCTGTGATGGTTTCCTGATCTCCAGCCACCACATCCATATTCAGGGAGCAGAATAGAGGACAAAAGAAAGATCATGCCCCTTCTCTGTAGGGCAATTCACAGATGTTCCATGTTATATTTTTAGCTTATGTCATATTAGCCGGAGCTTAGATTCATAGGTAACTTTAAAGAAATGCATCCAGGCTTTGAAAAAATGGGTTTCTATTATTGAAGAACTATAGGATGGATCTAGGGAATGAATAGCCTATGCCACAATTTTTATGTCAAGAATGAAACATATAGGCAAGAAACAAGTAGTCCTTCTACAGCCCACCCTAAATCACTATGGCAAACCAAGTCAAGAAATGTGCAGAAATAAAACAATAGTGTTTCATTTAGAAATCTAAGCAAAACACTAACAGCATTAACTCACAGAATCCCAGCACACATAAAACATAAACATAAAAACATATATAAAAAAGATGACATCCATAAATTTTCCTTCCTCCCTTCTTCCCTTCCTTCCTTCTATTCCTTAGTGTGAATTAAAATATAAAACCCGGTATCTTTAACATTATCCAAAACATCTTATCAGTTAGATCAAAACAGGGTCAGAGGATTAACTGGATTAAGAAAGAGCTTTCTACATGGGAATGAAATGTAAAACATGGTGACTATATACTGTATAGTATAATTGAAATTTGCTAAGAGAGAACTTAAATGTTTTCCCTAAAAAAAAGTAAAATAAACAAACATATGAGGTAATGGACTTGTTAATTAAGTAAACAGGAAAAATCCTTTCACAATGCATATGTATATAAAATCACCTCGATATACACTTTAAATATTTTACAATTTTATATGTCAATTACGTAAGCTGAAAAAAAAAAAAGCTTTGTTCAGACAAAACATTAATCTTGATCACTAACATAAATGGCCTAAATCTGATGCAAAAGAAGCACATATTATCATTTACCTTCTGATATTTAAGTGTATCCCTGAGGTTTTTGGTTAACATTCAGATTTACCACATTGGCATTAATATGTTTCTGCATATAGAATATTTATTTTGAATGTGCGTAATTATTTAGGTATAGGGTGAGGAAAAAGTAGGTTTACAGTTGTGAGTACACAAAACAGTTTACTTTTTATTATTATTTATTAATCATTGTATTATTTTTCATATGAACAACTGTAAACTTACTTTTGCCCCACCCTGTATACTATAGGCAAGTTTCCCCCAATAAGTAGTATATGGCTTAACTATAATGTAATATAAAGAGAAAGAGTGAGCATTGGGGACACTTGCTATAGGCCAGGCACCATGCTCTACACCTGACGTTGCTTATTTGATCTCATTCCTGTTTCAAAAACAAACCTAGAAGAAATCTTCCAATTCATAGAATAGAAATTCAAAATGGGTAAGTGATTAGCTTATGGTCACATGTTACTCCATACAAACTTAGTTCTCTGACAATAAGACTCAAGCTTAGCTAGTGTTTTATTATAGTATATTCTTAAGGAAAATAGAACTAGATAATTACATATTTACCCTATTTTTATACTCCTCTTTGTTTTATCATCATCTTCTAGTTAAATGAATATTCAGAAAATCCCATCTCTAATCCATCACAAAACCAATGACCAGTAGAATGACTCATATTTAATGGCCACTCAAAACTTGTAGAATGATTGACTGAAATATGAAATTATTACACTTATCAGTAGTTCTATTTTTAATTCACTTTCATATCTATTTTAGGATATACATTATATATATTTTGTATATTTTATTTTATTTTTTTAATTTTTTTTTTATACCGAGCTGTATTTGTCATTGTCATGTGTAGTAGTATGCATCAAAAGTGTAACACTGAAGTAAAAACAAAAAAGAAATAAAAACCAAGTAAAGAAAAGCTTAAGTCTTTCATATGGAAGTGGCATTTAGCTGTCACCAGCTCCCTAACAGAAAACAGGTATTCATAGACCCACGTATTTCTATACTGACTTTTAAGCCAGACTCAGGGTGATCAGTGCCATTTGGCATCATTTTACAACTATGCCAATCCAGCAAAATTAACCTTAAAAGCAGAGAAGATGAATTTTGTAACCACTCACTGCTCTGGCCCAGGAAACAGGTATAAATATTTTACCCCAAAGAGAGAACGCAGTCGGGTTGCACAGAATATTGGTGTACCAGCAATGGGCCAGTATTAGGTTAACTCCTTTGTACACATATCCTATTTAATACTGCACTGCAGCGATCCTCATTTTACAGATGCCTTCAGGCTTCCATTTCTTCATAACGTGCCCAGTCCGCAGTCAACAAAAATGTCCATCTGGATGACAGTATGTTTCACTCAATCAAGTTCCAATAAACTGTACAGAAATACCCTTTTTTACACCAGCTAAAGAGGTTGGGACGTGTATGTTTCCCTGTTGGTTTCCTTAGATATACTACTGGTGCCACACGCGGCCCCCTTCAGCCTCACTCCTTTCCCACCTGGAGTCTTGAAGTACACGAGGTATTGAGAAGGATCAGATCATTCCTCCGTGATAAGCAGGATTAATTAGTTCTGGATAATGCTACTCTAGCCAGGGAACCAAGTCACTTCTTCCAGCTTGGTCCCAAGTAAGCACAGCAGGCGGCACCCAGTTTCAAAAGGTTTTATTGCTAAATATGCTTTAGAAAAGAAAAGTCGATCCTTTTGCTTCCAAGTTAGTGGAATGAAGAGCTGTGTCCAGGGACACATCCAAGTGGAGCCAAAGGGGACTGATGCTTTTCCCACCTCTATTCGTAGATCCAGTCAAAAGCACAAGACTTGTAGTCAACCAATTCTTCAGGCTTAAACCATAGGCTGATTTCTTTCTCAGCACTTTGTACTGAATCACTGCCGTGAATGATGTTCCTGCCAACTTGAACGCAGAAGTCTCCACGAATGGTGCCTGGCTTAGACTCCGCTGGATTGGTCTCCCCAAGCATCAGTCTCCCTGTCTTCACCACATTCAGCCCCTCCCAGACCATGGCTACCACAGGCCCCGAGTTCATGTACTTCACCAGCCCAGGGTAGAATGGACGGTCTTTCAGGTCGATGTAGTGCTCCTTCAGGAGCTGCTCAGAGGCCCGAAGGAACTTCATGGCCACGAGGCGGAACCCCTTCTGCTCCAAGCGCTTGATGATGTCTCCCACCAGGCCGCGCTGCACGCCGTCCGCCTTGATGGCGATGAAGGTGCGCTCCGTGTGGGCCATGATCCTGCGGGCGGTCAGGTCAGGGCCCCGCGCTCCCTGCCCCCGGCCCCGGGAGCCCGGGAGCCCGGGTCGGCGGGCGCCCGGCCGCGGGCGCACCAGCCCCGCCGCCCTAGCAGCTGCGCGACACATGGCCGCCCGGCGCCTCCGCCCTGGCCCACTGCCCCTCTGCAGACCCCCTATTTTGTATATTTTAATACATAAATACCATACTAATGGTTTTACAATAACACTTAAAATTACAAACATTTCCCAATATCACATACAATTTCATCACTCTGAATTTCTATTATAAAATAGCATCTATCACTAATGCCTAGTAGTGGTTTTAAAATTGTTTCATAAATAGCTGTAACTCTAAAGTCTTAATATTTGAACTTTATCAGCATATCATTTTACTGAAACATTCCAGAAGCAGGAACAGTGATTGGGAAATGCATTATGTATTGCTTAGGATCATATTTACAACGTCTGTTTCTAACTTAAAGATCAACAGTATTCCCCTGATTTTACAACAGTTATAATTAATCATATGTCCAAAAACAGCTTTAATATACAAAATATATATGTGAATTATCATCCTTTTCCCAAAAATAGGCTGCCTAAATAAGACACAGATTATTGACTTAAAATGCGCTTGTCCTTAACAACCTGGTCCAGACCTTCACTGGAAGATGCCAGGAGGGTCATCCACACAGAAGAGACCATTCATTGGGTTGCCAGCCAAAGAAGAAAAGAATAGGTTCTATAGATCAAAGCAAAATGAAATGAAATAAAATATAAACAGAGCGAAGGCCATTGTTATGATTGTCATTTTAAAAAAGATGAAAAACGAGAAACATTTTTGGATTCTCATTACGCTAGTATTGTAACACCTTGGACTAAGAGAGACTTTAAATGATCCATATTATAAAAATGATCTCAGCCACTTGGAGTTCTACATGTCTTCAAGTTAGTTTTAGAGATGGTGGGGGGAGATTCTGTAACTGCACAGAATCACCTGTGCACGGTTTGGGATGAGAAAGTTCCCTGTTGACAGTACACTCTCCAATTCGACTTGTGTGTGGCCACTTACAAAATATCTGCCTTATTTAAACATTGGAATTCCATATAAAGATTTTGGGAACATGACTCCTTGTTGTCTAAAAATTCATATGCATGAACAAACATTCACGGAACATTACTTTGTGCCAGATACTGTGGCAGTCAAAAAAATTAGGTCATAATTAAGAAAAAATGCAAAGGGGAGTTTCACAACAATGTAAACGTACTAAATGCCACTGAACTGTACATTTAAAAATGGTTAAAATGGCAAATATTGTTATGTATATTTTACCACAGTTACAAGGATTCTTGAGAGAATTCTTCACATTAGAGGACATCAAGAGGTACACGCTAGGCCAACAGCGGATGCAGGCCCCGCTCCTGTTCGTGCATGAACTGTATCGAGGAGCTAACTTGAAGCTTGTTAAACGTAGACGCACTGGATTTTTTGTTGATAAAAATGTTGATTTAATTCAAAAGATTGGGAAATGCAATCAGGATAACTAAACGTTCTTCTTAGCTCGTCCCCAAAGTTTCATATGCAAATGGCCCACCATCAATTGAGAACATGAAAGTAACAGGAAAATGACATAGGAAAAAAATACAATGTTTGATGAACCAGAGAAGTCATTAAGAATCGTTCTGGGCCTAAGTTTTATTGTGATAAGGAGTAATTTTGCTATCAACAGAAAAAAAAAGTGTTTTTTTTTATTATTATTATAAATATGCTGAGTAAATAAGTATTTACCATGGAAAACAATGCAGCATGCAGAGAGGGAAATGTGCTCTTTATTTCTGTTTATATACATTGACAGTGTGGCAAAGACTGCTCATTGCCAAACCAACATCCCTTCGTTCCTTCTTCCTGAACAGTGAGTTTGTGGAGAGATGGCAATAGATTCAACTATATATATTCCATGTGACTAAGTTCTAGTCGATGAAGCGTGAGTGGAAGTTTTTGGATGGGGCTTCTGGAGAAAACACATTTAAATATAGGGATGACTTACATGGGATGTGACCCTATCCCTTCCCTCGTTCCTCCCTGGGACTCGGATGAGATGGCTGTAACTCTGGCAGCTGTTTTGGGGCCCCCAGGCCACATGTTAAAGATGTCCGAGTGGGAAAGATAAAAGTTCCTGGATCTCAGGGGAGGCTGTGGCATTGTCACATGTGAATTGCCATCCTCTAAAATTCTCATTGCAGGAGAAAAAGCATCAACTAATTTTCTTAAGCCACTATCTCAAAACCAGCAGCTGGCCCTGGCCAGTTTGGCTCAGCGGTTAGAGCGTCGACCTGTGGTCCTGAGAGACCCAGGTTTGGTTCCTGCTAAGGGCACGTACCTTGGTTGCAGTTTGTCCCCAGCCCTGGTTGGGCTGTGCGGGTGGCAGCCACTCGATGAGTACCTTTCACATCGATGTTTCTCTCTCTCTCTCTCTCCCTTCCACTCTATCTGAACAAAAAATGGAAAAATGTCCTCGAGTGAGGATAAAAAAAACAAAACCAAAACAAACCAGCAGCTGTATACCATTGCTAATTATCTATCAGGTAAAATGGAAATAAAATTGAGATGATAGCCCACTGAAAGAAGAGAGCCCTCTTCCGATTTTAACCAAGATGTCTAGTACAATTTTAAGCTCGCTGTACAATATGTAAACATTCATTCCAAGGGAAATCAAAGGAGAAAGAGTCGTTCCTCGCACGGCACTTCGGAGCTCCGAGTGCTGAAAGCCAGGGCGCCGTCACCGCAGGGTGTCCTCCTAAACCAGCCCCGCTGTCCGCCGGAGGGTTTTCCACCTGCTGCAGCAGGAGAGGCACAAAGGGAGTGTGGGCAGCAGGACTCAAAGCTGCTGGCTTCGTCACCTGGAGATCTGAACTGTGTCTGTGCCAGGCTCTCAGAGGCGTCGTATAATAAAATTCCTATTTCAATCCTAGCAGCATGCTCAATGTGCGATCCTGGAGGTTGCGTCAGCAATCCCTTGTTTGCGGCTGTGTTTTCCAGAGAGTAATACACGTGTTTGGGACGGACACCCCGGCCTGCAAAGAGACGCCCATCGCTCCATCTACACGCCTTTCTCGGTTCTGAAGAATCAGAAGACAGCCAGAGCCGTGCTTTCTTGACACCATGAAAGAGCAGATGCTAAACCAACAGCCCTCCCAATCACTGTGCCTTCGATCGTCCGAAAGTCAGGTCTGTGGACTGTCGGGGTGGTTTAGGGTGGCACTGTGGTTTCTGCGTAACAGAGGCTCCGAATGACCAGTGCTTAGAAATAAAAGTCCCTATTCTGAACCAACCCCTGAAGAAGGCCACCAGAGACATGACACAGAAGTGCTAACTTTCTTGGTTCGTGGCCCCACTGTGGAATGCCTGGTGGGGAACAAAACGAGCAAGAGGCGCACAGCAGTGCAAGAAAAATATTACTTCAGAAACGGAACTCTCCATAGCTGGGTGGACGTAAACACCTACGTTTTGTGAACGGTGGAAAGAGAGTCATGAAAACTCAGCAAAGAGGCAGTATTGGCAGGTTCATTATTAGAAAGAAGTATCATTAGAAGAATTGAGGCGTAAAGAAGAGCGAAGTCTCTTTATAAGACGGATAATATAGTAAAGGCTGCACATTCTGTCAAGAATCAATTATGATAATACTCTGTATAATTAATATAATATCTAAAATTTATTGAGCTGTAACTGTGAACAGGCCTTTTGATAACATTTTTACACATATGAATCCATTTTGAACACTAATGACAATCCTATAAGGCAGGTACTTTTATTACTCCCATTTACAGATGTGGAAACGGAAGTCAAGAAACACTTGTCCTCAGAGCAGTGATGGGCAATAAACGGAGCCTCCTGCAAATGCTCTTTTTTTTTAAATCCTCACCCAAGGATATTTTTCTATTTATCTTCAGATAGAGCAGGAGGAAGAGAGGGGAAGAGAAAGGGAGAGGGAGAGAAACATTGATGTGAGAGGGACACATCGACGGGCTGCCTCCCGCACAACTCCGACCAGAGCGGGGGGCGAACCACAAGCGAGGTACATGCCCTTGGCTGGAATCGAACTCGCGACTCATTGGTCCTTGGGCCGACGCTTTACCGCTGAGCCAAACCGGCCAGGGCTGCATTCACTCTTAACACCATTTAAAGGAGCATGACCGCCCTGGCTCTGCACACACCTACTGAACAGTAAGCTTTACTATGACGGACTCCCACGGTTTTATCAAAGAAGGACAAGCAGGTTTTAAGATACTCATACAGAAATTAATAGCCTATGTTTGTAATGTTGAAATGACAGTAAGAATTTCCCGAGGCACAGAGGCAAGATTAGGAAGGAGAAAGAATTCCAGACTAAAGAAAAGTGATAGGAACCAAGTCCCTGGAAGAGACAGCAGAGTCTGTAGCCCGGTGGCAGCGGGGACAGGGCACCGGGCAGGATAACAAACCCAGCATCTGGACATACACTTCGGACGCACTCCACGTGGCCTGCCGTCATTCTAAGGCTCCTTTATGACAAAAGGGAACATCTGACCAAACTTGGTAGGAAGATAAAACGTTCAAGTTACAGAAGTGAGGGGTGGCGGGGGTATGGAGGTGACAAGAGAGGAGAAAACCTGGAAACAAAGGTGTCAAGAAGGGGGAAAGTTAGGTGTAGGGAAAAAAACATCAAAATGTGTCTGAGGAAATAAGCCAAAGAAAGGGCTGCAGGAAGAGAGAGACAATGGATCATAAGTGGCAGGACTTTCTGATACAAAAACTGCCATTATGAAGACAAAACTTTTCATAATCCCGTTTCTTACCAATTTCAGCTTGAATCCATTCCCCAGGGAATATGTTTCAGCATTAAACAGTGGCTACAGGCTTCTCCCCTCTTACCAGTGAGCAAAGACAACCCTTAGAATATGACACAGTTAAATAAGAGGAACCTTCAGACAGATATGCATTGTGGCACCCAAAGGACAGT